AAATACATAGAGATCCCGTCTCAGAAAAAAAAAAAAAAAAAGGGACTGCAAGGGAAGATACAGTAAATAATTCAACAAACATTTTCACTATTCACCTACTTTGTGCCAGGCCGGGACCAGGGAAGTGGGGAACGGAAGATGGACGTAGTTCTGCTGGCCGAGCCGAGCTTGTGTCACAGACAGAAGCACAAGTCACTCTTTCTGGAATGGAGACGTGATGCTGAGAGAAGCACAGCACCTCAGCGGGCTTCAGTAAAGGACAGTGCGGTCAGACCACAGATCAGCCTGCCAGCTAATCACCGCCGAGTAAAGGCAGGCACCAGGGTCCAGCACCATCTCCTGCAGCTTTTCAGGGACTACAGTGAAGTTGGGGACAAACTGCTTGGGGTTACCCTGCTCTCGAGGGGTTCCCCTAGTGAGCATTAAGGGGAATTCTCTTAAATATGGGAGAACCATAACAGTAAGGATGGGGTTTGAGGGGAGAACAGATCCCTGCTCGATAGCAGGAGACTGGAAGGGGTGGGGGAATTCCCAAAGGCTCCATTTACAGAGTAGGAGATCCCCTTCTGCTCTCAAGTTCCCTGTGCTAGGGTATTCTTAGAGACGTGTGTGATGACTGTCCCCAAGCTTCCTGATACCTCTGGTGTCCCACCTTCCTTAGGGTTTCAAGGAAGGTAACAAATGCACACACACACACACACATAATGAAAAATATATACATATACATATGTGTGTACACCTCAGCACACAGGCACACCCACATGCACCCTCCCACACTCACTGGTACTGTTTGGCTGTTAGTTCAGTGGTGGTAGAATCTTATCCATTTATTTGTATCCCTTGAATCTACCACAAAGTGATCAGTTCAGCTTCAGTGAGAAGACAAGGAGCATTTTATAAAAAACATCAGGTAAGGTGGTGCATGCCTGTAATCCCAGCACTCAGGAGGCTGAGGCAGGAGGATCGCTGTGAGTTCGAGACCAGTCTGGGCTACATTGTGAGTTCCAGGTCAACTACATAGTGAGGCCCTGTCTGAAAAAAAAAGAAAGAGAGAGATGAGAGAGAGAGAGAGAGAGAGAGAGAAAGAAAAAAAAGAAAAAAAGAAAAAAAGAAAGAAATATGTAGTCAAGAAACAACACCAGTATGAATTCACATATTTTTGGCTGATTCTAAGCACTAATAGAAAAAAATGTAATAGCAGTATCAATTGATAAGAGTACCTATTATGTATTAGGGATACAAGAAGACAGGAAGCAGAGATTGGAATGAAACAGATTTTCAAAATGAAATTCATTTTCACCTTCTATCACCTTAATCTTAGATAAGCAATTAATCCCTCTTTTTTTGTCTCTTTATTTTTTGATTTATTTATTTTTGAGATAGGGTCTCACTATGTAGCTAAGACTGTCCTATGGAACTCACTCTGTAGGCCAGGCTGGTCTCGAACTCACACTGATCCTCCTGCCGTAGCCTTCCCAGTGCTGGGATTACAGGCGTGCTCCACCATGCCTGGCTTTTTGTTTCTTGAGACAGTCTCCTTACATAGCTCAAGCTGGTCAGCAACTCATAGTGATTCTTCTGCCTCAGCCTCCTAGAGTGCTGGGATTCCAGCTGTGCATAGGTCCCCCCCTTAGTAACTCCTCTTTTAAAGGAGTTTAGGCCTATGGTGATTATAATAAGTAATGCATTTATTTGCAAAATTCCTCGAATTTAAAAGTACATAAAGGAAAAAGCATAGTATTACATGACTCCATACTTGATTGTATACTACACATAGCCAAGTAAGCAGAACTTGTTTCTCCTGGGTACAAGTCATAAATTTCTACTTTTGTAAACTTTCCAACAACTAAAACCTACAAACTCTACCAACCCAATTCTGTATCAGAATTTCAAGCTTGTTTTCTTACTGATCTTTTCATATTGAATTATTGAGAGTACTTATTTATTATTTATTTTTTGATATCGGGGATAGAACTCGGGCCTTTGTGCTTGCAAGGCAGGTGGCGGAACCCTTGAGCTAAATCCCCAGCTAGAATTTCAAGCTTGTTGATCAATGGTGAGAAGGTGACAAAATAGACTGGAAAAATAATTCAAAGTTCACCTTGTGGGAAGGTAGCAGCATCATCCCACTCTCCCCCGCCACTGCGGGCCCCAGGGCTAGCCTTGAACAAACTTTCAGTGATCTGCCTCTGCCTTGGCCTCCTGAGTGCTGGGATTACAGGTACACAACACCACACCTGGCAGTACCATCATTCTTGATGTTGAAATTACATTTCCTCTGTAAAGTGCAACTAATGTTTTGTTTGATACGTACTACTGATTTACACAGGTCCTAAAATTAAGAGTGAATTAAGTGAAAGTGGCTTTGAATAGAGCTCAACAATTCAAACAGTAAGTGTGGATGAACATTACTATGCTATCTTATAAATTACTCAGGGAAATTTGTTTTTAAAGCTAATCTAAAAAGATACATCACATTTCATATTATATATTTAAAGGTTCAAATATTTTTAAAATAAAAAATTCTAAAGAGAAAACCATAAAACTAGATCCTAAACATCGTTAACATGTGCTGATTATAAAACAAGTATCACAGAGAGTAAAGTCTCTAATATCCCTTCGTAACTGAAGAATTCATGTCTATACTCGTTTTTTCTACACATATCCGAGTATGTATTTTAATGTAAAAAAAACTTCTTTTGTCAAGTTATTTTAGACATATTTTGTATTTGTGATTCAACTTCTATTAAGTATACTCCTTAAAAGAGTCTCATTTGTTTTAGAACTTTTAACCTGAAATAGGCTTGAACAAAAATAATTTAAAATTTACCTCACCTTGCAAATTAGTAAATGCGTCCAAACCTGCTAAATTTTGCCTATTAACAAATTTCAGTCAGGAGTATAAAGGTTCTGAATGGCAAAACCTTTTCCTGAAAAACCTGACCAAGATTATAATTATAGGAGCTTCATTTCCTGTGCAATCTGTTCTAATCATTGTAACTTCCATATGCAACATAAACATCTACGGAAGAGTCTTAAAAAATGAATTCTTGTCTTTAAATACCATCTTCGCAGCCACACTCGATCTCCGGAGCTGAACGCGACGCCCGCAGGAGCAGGCTCCTCCCCGCTGCTGGGGAAAACCCTGCCTAATATTTATAACGTTATGACATACTGTAATACTCACAAGGTGGTTGTAGAAGTATAAACACGACTGGAGTTATCTGATTGGCTGCTGGTGATGTAACACCCAGGTCAATACTTCCCAGCGAACGCACGTGTTCGACCTTTTATTTAAATTTCCATTTCATCACAGCAGCAGGACACTCGGGGCGGTGCATTTTCTGTGCAATGATTACTGCCCCGGGCCCGAGGTGTTGCCCGGCGCACACAATGCATCCGAGGAGGTGTCCGCGGCCGGACCCTCCCGGCGTGAAAGGCACCGCCTGCTCCAGTCTTTGTGAAGGAACAAAATAAGTTCACCTCGGCCGCCGCCGCCGCCGCCCACCACCCATCTACCCATCCCCAGCAAATGACAAGGCTGGAGCGCCGCGCCCACCGCACACTTATTGCCAAAGTCCCAGGTGAACTCGTGGCGAGAGGGAAATGCGCGTCCCGGGCGCGGGTAGGTGCGCGCGGGCGGCGGGGAGGC